TAAAAGCTACAAAAAACTGAATTGAAAGTTAAAAAAAATACTTAAGTAATTTCGAGAAAATCACCTGATTCAAAATATAAATGTTTTATATGCCATTTCGATTATGTGTTCACTGATTATGCTCAGTATGACGACACTGCGTATACGTAACTTATTTCCTCCTCAAGTAACATGCATTGACAAAAGCAACAACAAGAGTAAAAAATAATATAAATCCAATATACATATGATAAGTAAATAATAAATCGCTTCAATGGTTATAAAGAGCCGCATATAAGAGTATATATGTATATATAATTTATGCACATACATGCATACATAAGAATGCCATAAGGCAATCAATCAATTATTTAAAATAAAAACTTAAAAAAATTTAATTTTAAAAACTCTATGCTCTATATATATATATATTATATAATATATTTATTTATAATATATTTATATATAATATATTTATATATAATAAGCGCTTTGTAACCGCTGAAGTCACTTTCAATAGAGGGACTAAGCCGCCTCCGAAGGGCTGATGGTTTTTTATGAGGAACTTTATTTCATGTCAGAAACACATTCGGCGGGGGTTGACATACTCTGCCAGTGGGCGACCGCAATTAGAAAATTTAGATTATTTTTTTATTTAAATTAATTTTTTTTATGTTAGTACGACACTAACAACTCGGCTACCGCGGCCTCCTTATTAAGCATTTTGCAAAATTATATTAAAATTTGCTCAACATGACAAGAGTACATTGAGAATATTATACAAATTTTTTGTTGTTTTTAGTTTAAATTATTAATAAAATTTCTTATGAGAACCTTACCAATACTGTTGGTTATCTGAACAAAACTCTTCTCTTTTTATGTATGCTTTTACGAAACACTTCGAATTAGTGGGAATAAATTTAATATTGACTAGAAATTCTTTAACTCAATAATTATACTCCTACAGCAAATCACTCTCATCTACATAAGTATAATATACATATGTAAGTATGTAAAGCGCCCTTTCGTCTTTTCACACAAAACCACAACCAATGGATTTCCTCACCAAATCAGCTTAAGTTTAGATAATGCCGGTAACGGCTGCCAAAGCTGATAGCACAAACCGTAGCAAAGCAACAATTTCGGCTGCAAAGGTGAAACGCAATGAAACAACAAAAACAAGCTGCCTTTTAACCAGCAAAAAAAAAAATAATAATAAAAAAAAAAGAAAATGCTGGAAAGTAAGTCGTTGGTAATTCTACTGAGGTGGGTGTATATGCATGCATGTAATATATATATATATATATATATATTTATATATATATGCAGGGGCGATTCGTTTGTTACGTTTGTGTATATACGTATAGCTGACTGCAACAAAGCAATAAAGTACCCAATTTCGTTTAGATGTTGCCTAGCATAAAGCAACTGCAGATGGCTTGGGCTACTTTGTGTTAAGTTGTCGCTATGCGCGCATGTATGAGTGGCGCATTGTTGGACGTACAACATGCTCGTGCTTAAATGCGAACATTTAGATTTGTTTGTAGTCCATGTTCGTGTCCGTGAGGGTGATGGTGGTGGTGTTGGTGTTGGTGGCGAGATGGCGATAATGTGTAAATATACACGCAGTAAGCTGAGTTGGAGATTTCTTAGAGGTGCATGTGGTTAGCATTGCATACTTTTATTCAGCAGGTCGGGGTTCGTGTTCTACTTTGACGAATATACAAAGTAATAGAAAATTACAATAATTTTTCTAATTGCGTTCGCTTCCAGGCAGGAGATGTTATTATTGTAAATAAAAAGATCCGCTTAAATTGTATCAGCTGTTCGGTGGCGGCTTAGCGTAAACTGTAGGTCGATCCGTTTATTGGAGAAACATTAAGAAGCGCACCAAAAGTTATTTCAGAAGGCGCTCGGCCGAAAATCGGTTCAGCGGTTACAAAGCGCCAAATTATATATGTAAACTCATACATACAAATATGATTTGCTTGTACGGATATTTGGCAGCGTTGTTTGTATGTGTGGCAAATAATACATACATACACACATACAATACACAACCATGCATATGTATATAAATTTAAGTGTGTTTGAAGGAGTGTGCTTGAATTTTAATGTGTATTTCCTCGTGTTTCTTTGTTGACATGTACACTCGTATTGGTATGCGTGCTATTGTGTGCATTTACATATGTACATATGTATTATATTATTTACGTATGTACATGTGCGTATGTACTGTGTGATTGTGCTGCCATTTTCAATTTATTGCCTGCCCATCCAACAATAAGTAATTTCTTGATAATGTACTTATATTTATGTAAACTACGTGTTATGCATATGTACACGTATGTATGCTTGTACATAAGTATATGTATTTGCATAAACACAATAATATACGGCAAGTTCGGCTCATCAGGAAGTCTTATCTGCGTATAGACGATATCTACACTCATACCAATATCAATATCTGAGCTGTTAAAAAGGAAAGTGTGAACTCTTAAATAATAGTAAATTTATTAGAAATAGTAATTTAAAGAAATTAATCTTTTAAAGATAGTAAATTTGATTTATATATAATTGGCGCTTTTAAACCGCTGAAGCGATTTTCGGCTGTGCTCCTTTTTTACAAATGCAGGGATCTACAGTTTATGCTAAGCCTCCGAACGGCTGATGGCTTTTTTTTAAGAAGAGCCTTTATTTCATATCAGAAATACACTTGGAGGGGTGGACATTCCCTGCCGAAGGGGCTGCCGTAATTAGAAAATTTAACTTCATTTTTATTTAAATTATTTTCCATAACTTTTGAATGTTGGTGGCGCCGGGATATGAACCCAAGTCTCTTTCGAATGCCAGTACGCATTGCTAACCACTCAGCCACCGCGGCCGCCAAACTAAATTTAATTTAATTGAAAGTGGGTCGAAAACTAGTTCAGGGGTTATAAAGAACCAATTGTTTATTAAAAAATTCAACAAATATAATTTTAGTAGAATATAGCTGAAGTGATTTTCGGTCCAGTTCCTCCTCCTGTGTTATGCGTCTTTTTTTTTTTTTTTGAGAATTCCGACCATATTAGATGCCGTCAGATCGATTCATGACAGTAGGTGTTTGAAGCGTAAATTTTAGAAGATTTTTGCCATTGTTAAGCGTCGATACTAGAATGACTTAGCGTCTGATTTCGTTAACCGATAAAAGAAACCGACAAAGAAGAAGCGAAACAAAAAGTAAATAGCAGAACACGCCGATCGTGCGCTCTCAAATTATTCAGCTGTATATCCAAAATTTTCACTAGTGCATAAAGAAAAAATATAAAGAAAACGGTGATCGAATCAAAATTGTCACTGTAAGCCCCAAATTATGCAAAAGGTACCTTGTTACGAGCCGAATGTGACAGTATGGTATGGAGTTCGTGCTGATATGGTTATCGGGCGGTTCTTCTTTGAACATGAGCGTGGCTGAGTTACAACCGTCAGTCAGGAGCGTTAAATGTATTATGAATTTTTGATGCCAAATAATCGCGATAATGATATGGAACATTTCTAGTCTCCCCGTTCTCCAGATTCTCCGGACACCGGGTATACTTGCAATCAAGTGACTCTAAACGTACTTAAGGACAACAGTCGTCGAGAAATAGCCGAGATATTGACAGATGGCGAAAAGCAGGTCCCTTGCGCCAATAGAGCTCGGGACGACCACTTGAATTAAATTTGTGATCTTTTAATTGAACATAGAAAATTTGTTTTCTTTTTTATGAACGGGTTCAGCTAATATAGCCAAACCGTTACACTCGAAGGGACAGAAATTTCCTGCCAAGGGCCGACCGCAATTGGAATTTTTTTGAATTATTTTGAATGTTGATCAGGCCAGGAATCGAGTTCATAACCCTCCAGGTGGTTGTATGCATTTGGGTAATCATATAAATTGGCAAATAATATAAATTATTAATAAGTGAAATATTTAATTCACAAGTTAATTTTTTTAATTTCAATTAATTCAGATTTTTTTCATGAGTTTTTATTAAATTTAATTGAATTTTATTTTTATCTATTCTGTTTTATATCTTTATTATATTATTTTATATTTTACTTTAATTAAATGTTTTTTATTTTATTCTATTTTATTTTGATTATTTAAGTTAATTTTATTTCTTTTTATTTAATTTAAATTTATTTTTTTTATTTAAATTTATTTTATTTTATTATTTTATTTTAATTTAATTTATATTACTTATTAAAATTATTAAATTCTACTTTATTTAAACTAATTTGTTTTATTTACTTTAATTTTAATTTTTTTATTTAATCTTATTTTATTTCTTTATTTTAATTTAATTCCACTTATTTTGATTTATTTTATTTTACTTTATTTTACTTTATTTTATTTTATTTTATTTTATTTTATTTTATTTTATTTTATTTTATTTTATTTTATTTTATTTTATTTCATTTTATTTTATTTAATTTTTTTTATTTTAATAATTGTATTGTAATTTATTTTGCTTAATTTAACTATTTTTTTTTAATTTGAGTTCGTTTAATTTGTTTTATGTAATACAATTTCAATTTATTTTTAATTTAATCTGAAGTTATTTTATTTTACTTTACTGTATTTCATATTATTCCATATATCATTATATGTTTTTAATTTTACTTTTATATTATTTAAATTGTATTTATTTAATTTGGTTCATTAAATTCATTTTATTTTATTTTTCATTTTGTTTTTAATAATATTATTTCATATCAGTTTGTTTTATTTAATTTTACTTTATTTGAATTTCTACTTTATTTTTATTAAATTATTATTTTTTGTTTAATATATTCTATTTCGCTTATTTGAATTTATCTTTTCCATTTTGCTTTAAAACTCTTTTCCTTAATTTTTTTTTAATTTAGTAATTTTTTTTCCCTCATTTTGTTTTAGTTTTCTCTTTTTTTTCTAGCAAATTTGTATATTTTATTATAAAAAAAGTTCCTTATTTTTGACCAAAACCAATTGTTTAACTATCTCAATACATACTTACATCACTTTTAATAATAACAGTCCATTTATAATTATTTTATATTCAAATTTTTTTCCACTTTTCTTCAAACGTTTCTAAGCAAGAAAATATCGAGCACTTTTATGAAGGCAATCAGAAATACCATATATGTATGTACGTATGTATGAACTCCCACATATATATGTACGTGTTATTAAATGTGCACTTTTGATTTTTTGTGATTTCCAGACCCTTATTTCCCAAGCACTTATACGGCACAATGTATCAAAATCAATTTTTCTGCTTTTCATCAATCATATAAATATTCACATACACACATACATATACATTTACATATACAATATGTACGTATATGTATGTGGCTCATCAATCAATTTTCGGCATATTTAGCCTATAAATGGGCCAGTCTTGCATGCATTTCACTCTTTTCTTTTTAGATTTTTCTTAAATTTATTTATTTTAGATATTTCTTATGTTTATATTTTTATTCTTTTTTTTGTTGCTTTAATTGATTTAAATTTCATAAATGCATTTAACGCATTTAAATTTCACTTTTTCCCTGCTCTATATTGCACACTCTGCTCATAATTGAATAACCAACGTAACATCGTCCACGCTTCGCAGGAGTTCGCAAAGGACAAGTAAATGAGAAAAAAAAGAAAAACAAAAAAAAAAATAGTTTTGAGCCGTCGTTTGGTGGTGTGGGTGTGTTTGTTTGGTTCGTGTGACAAGCACACTCGTTGAGGAGGCGAAGCGAGGCAAGGTGAAACGAAGCAAAGCGCTGCTTTCCCAAAGGTGGTGGGGTGACGTTGCAGCAGCGAGTTGAAAATGGACGAAGGAGAAGAAAAAAAATGTGTCTCTATAGCCACTACTGTCCTTATTTTACACATTTATCGTGCTGCTGGCACTTAAATTACAATTTTTTTTTTTACTTTTTTTTTTTCTACACTCACACACACATCACCTACCTTACCTACATTACACACTGCGTGTTTGGGGCAAATTTTTCACAACGAACAAACTTTTTGTCAAACTCATTTTAACGTTAAACGGACTTTTGAGTACACATGCAATACACCCACATACGCACACGCACACACACACGCACACACACACAGAGGTATGTGCATATATTTTATTTTCTAACTTGCTGTGCACTCAGCCCAACTGGATTTACATAATAACTTTGCAAACATTAAATTTTCTGCAATTTTCCATTTCACCAACACTACTACACTTTTAATGTTTAACAAATGAACGTTGCATTTTTGCTAAACCGCCTTAGCTAACGCATTTCAAGCACAAAAGTATAACAAAAAAAAAAACATTTTTTTTAATATAAATTCCAACGCAAAGTTAGCATTTTCACTACCGTTACGTTTTCCTTTACGCGTACACTTCACACGACTGCCACATTGCGATTGACGAGTTGACGACGGCGATGGCGATGGCGAGAAATCCAGTTTAGTACTCCCTACAACTAACGTGTGAGTACGTATCACGTTGTTGTTGTTGTTGTTGTTGTTGTTGTTGTCTTAATGTTGTTATTCGTTTACTTATGCTTAAGAGTGAGCTTTATTTGAGCGACTCGACTTTCGCTATACGCGCCCAATGAAAATTGAGGCGAGTTTTGTATTCTGTTTGGCGGCACACGACCAACGTCTAAGTTGTGACTACTTTCGACCAGTGTTGTTGGTGGTGGCTGGTGGTTGGTGGTTGGTGTTGTTAGAAATTCGGCATGCTCGCTTCACTAGTTCCGGCTTTCACTTGTTGGGTGTGTTCAGTGTTCAGTGTTTCCGTCAGTTGCGTGCTTATACGATTGTATATGTATGTTTGTATGAGTGTGTGTGTGTAATAAAGCTTTTGAAGTGATAAAAAAGCTTAGAATTACTTGACTTTGACATTTCTTATTTGAACCAGAGTTGTTGTGGTTTTTTTTATGGAAAATGCTGGTCTTTATGAAATTCAAATCTCTTTTAATAAAGGGTGGTTTTTAGACATGCGGTTTTCAAAAAGAAATAAAAGGCATATAATTTATTGTTAGAACAAGAATTTAGCTTTATTTCAAGGATAAGGGCTCGCCATTATGTTCGGCTTGTATGAGTTCCAGTTGAGCGACCATGTTTTTGACCACTTTTTGCAGCAATTGGGGCTGTATGTCTGCAATAACGCGCCGAATATTCTCTTCCAAGACGTCAATCGTCTTGGTTTTATCTGCCTAGACAAGCGACTTCACATAACCTCCTAGAAGAAATGGCAATGTTAAATTGCATGATCTTAGAGGCCACTCTCCAGGCTCACGATGCGATTTCATGCGTTAGCCAAAGGTTTGCTTCAATAAATTGATCGTTTCCTTGACTGCATGGCATGTAGCGCCGTCTTGTTAGAACCAAAGGTCGTCCACATCATAACCCTCCCATTCGGACAAGAAAAAGTCACTAGTCATGGTTCTATAACGTTTCCTATTAGCTATAACAATATAACCGACTTAAATTTTGAATAGAAATATTGACAATGGTTCTCTCTCTCTCCATACACCACACCACAGAGGGACTTTTTGAGGCTGTAACGGCGTCTAAATAATAGTTTGTAGATTATCAACACTCCCAATGGGACAATTTTGTGTGTACGTCAATAACACACAACCAAAAGTGAGTTTCATTGATGAACAAAAGACTTGTACGAATCGGTATCGCTGGCCATCTCGCTGTGGGTCCATGAACGGAACGTGCGAGATGATTGATGGTCGTTCGGTTGCGAGTTATAAGCTCTCAAACCAAAATCCTTCCGCAAAATCTTCCATAAAGTGTATGGACACAGTCAGTTGCAATTGATGCGCGCAACGGCGGATGTCCTATTTTGGATCTTCTTCGTCTTCGTTGCGCACTATACGGCATTTCTGAGGATACGCATTATAAACCAGAGTAAACGTGTTGCAAAACCGTTGCATGGTTACTCAAATTATTGACTCTGCTTTGCGGTTATGTCGACTGAATATTCGCTGTGGGTCATTTACAACAACATCAAATGAAAGTACAAACGGTCTTCATGCCAGGATTGACAGTAAGAAGGGTTTTTTTTGTGTATTGGATGGGATTGGTAAGGAATCATCCACTATGAGCTACTTTTCAATGGTCAAACTCCTAATTTAGACTTATACTGTCAGCAATTGGACGACCGTGTGAAGGAAGCAATCATCCAGAATTGCCCAACTTAGACCAACCGGAAGGGAATTGGGTTCATCAGCACAACTTCAGACCACACACACGATAGTTTCTCGCCGAAAGCTTGATTGTCAGGTTCCAACATATAGTCGCACTAAGTGTTTACTAACTTTTTTCTGTTTATGGCGAATAATTTGGTTGGTGAAAAATTGGCCTGAAGAGAAGCCTATGAGAAAGACATATTAAAAACGGTAATAGGTTATCGAGCTAAACACTTCATATTCGGCACAAATCGAATAATTCGAACTATTGTAAATGAAGCATTCAGACCTTATATTAATTGAAGATCATCATGTCAGCAAGTGATGTTACTCATACGCCCCCAACCATCGTTGTGTAGGAGGTCAATTGAAAAACAGCGCTAGAGTTTCGAAACTAATTGAAATTTAAGAGTCCAACTGTAAAATTAAATATATATACATATACCTACATAACATATGTATATATATATTTGGTAAAGCAAAGCAGTTATATGGAAATATTCCGCTTTAAAATACTCAAAATAAAAACCTGCAATATCGTTTGATGAAGTTCCTTTTACAATTAAATTTTTTTTTTACTTGCAATCAATTTTGTGAATTTCACTGACGAAGTGCTCAATATCGTTCCTCTGGCTCAGATTTTTTTATATTGATTGAAAATCATGAAACTGGAGTTGCTTATACGCCCTGTCAAACCTTGCGTAGGAGGAGTTGGTGGAGAAGTCCTGGAGACAACTGAAAAAGCAGCAAAAGCGGCGATCTTTTCAAAATCAGTTGTAACTAAGTGATCTAAATTTAAAGACTAACTAAAAAAAATTTTAATTAAAAATATAATAATTATTCGAAAGAATTAGTGCAGTTTGAAATAATTAAAAATTTTCTAAAAAAAAAAAGATTTTTTAAATTTTTACTTATTCAAACAACACTAACTTTTTGGATTTTACTGATGAAGTGTAGAGTTTTGTTTTTCTGGTTCACCGCAGTTTTTTTTAAATAAAAAATCATGAAAAATTTTAGGGTGTTACTCATACTCCCTAAGAAGCCTTGCCTGTTTGGTGGAAAAAAGTCCTAAAGACAATTGAAAAAGTAGACTTAACGGAAAATTTTTAAAATCAATTGTATTGGGGAGTCGTAATTCAAAAAATAACCGAATAAAAGTTCATAAAAAGTTAAAAAAGAGTAATAACTCAACTCTTTGAATTTTTTTTATAAAAGTTTAAGGGGCACACCTAGTGTTTTTCATATTTCGGTAGATTACACCTTTAAAATTTAACATATTAAAATTTCAAATCGATATCTCAAATAGTTTTTGAGTTATAGCAATTTAAAGAGCAGCCGCTCGGCAGCTAGAGAGTCTCATTAGCTACGAGTTAAAACGATCATTTTATTTTTAAACGTGTTTTTCTCGAAACAGCATTTTCCGAATTTGCCGCAGTGATTACTCAAAAATAAATGATCCGATCACCATCGAATTTTTTTTACATGTTCTATATATAGTTCTCCGTACAATGATCTGATCAAAAAATCGAATTTTGGCAGGCCAAAAACGATCAAAATTTTGGGTAAAATTCGACTATTTTTTTTAAAACGCCGCCAAAATGTCAATTTTTGATTTTTTTTTATCACAGGTCATTGTACAGACAGTATTATCTAGAAGAGAATTTTTTTTTTAGATTTCATCCACGGAGAAGGCCGGAATCACTGCAGCAGTGAAGGATCTTTTTTTCGCGTCGTTGGAGATCGACTAAAGCTTAAAAAATATTTAATTTTTTTCTTTAAAAATTTCACTATATTTTTGAAACATGTATAAATATATTCTTAAAATTTTGAAATAATTGATAAAGTATTTTTTTTAAATAAAAATTCCCAAAAATCACCAAGCTCTATAAAATACAATTAAATTTAATGAAATTATAGATTTTCAAAATAATTACAACAGCATCCTTAAAATTTTATATCATTTAATTAGTTTGTTATTGATTTTTTCGCGAAGTAAGAGCGAGATATCAGCATTAACATAACCTAGAAAAACTAATAACACTGAATTAAATTCAATGAAACATTTATTATTCAACTTTCCCAAAACTTTTCCAGCATCAAGAGCAATTAAACGCATTTTCTTCTGTTTAAAATGTTTTTTTCATTTATTTTAATATTATCTTTTTTCGAATTTTTCCTTCGTTTTATTTTGACTTTAGTAAGAATTATGCTTAACATGTAACTTAAAGTACTTAATAAATT